CCTGTTTTGGAGTGGGCTTTGGGAAAGCTACGGAGGAAGTTTTTGGGGTAGCGGATGCTACCTTGTTCTGCTTCCCGTGGGGATAGGCAACGGAAGTTACTGAGGTTAGCATCGACAGTTAAAACGAGGGGTAGTGGCATGACACTGCGCGTGCCAAGGGGAGCGTGTCAGGAGAGTCACGCTGGCAGCGAGATCGGCTGGGCACTGGGACAGTTTTCCAGTGGGGACGTGGTGGAACAGTTATTGGGAGGGGAATTGAAAACTGCTGGCTGCTATCAGTACAGTGCTGGCTCACGGGAGCTGAGTATTTATTTACAGGAACGTTTGCAGGCCACAGTCATAAGCCAGACTCCTCGTGTGTTAGATGCTGTTCAAAAAGCGTCATAGGAAGTAATTTTCTGTGCCCTTGAAGCGTCTTCTGTTTCTTTGCTGCTTTGGCTCTGTGTGAAGCAGGCAGATCGCTTACCTTGAAATTGTTCCGCGTAGACCAGATTGGATTAATATCGGTCTTTCTCGACCTCTCTAGATATCAAAATGAGTTCCATGCTGACCAGTGCCATCAGAAACCTCCCTGCTTCCTCAGCATGGGCTGCCAGGGTCTGTAAGTATCTTTAGGTTTATTAAAAGCTTGAATTGGTAGGTCATAAAGTTCTGGTCTAAGTGTTGGGTTGGGAATGGACGCTTGTATCTGAATCTCTGTTCCATTGTCATCTTAAGGAAGATGACAATGTGTTTTTTTTTATATAACTAGTTCCATTGTTGCCATATTTGTCCCTTCCCACATCGGATGTGGGAGGAATCTCATGTTAACGGGAAATACGAACTGTGTCATTTCTATGAACAGACTAAACTAAATAATATCTCACAGGTGTTCAGGTGCAATTGTCTTACTATGACATCTTATTTTTTTAACAGTTCTTACAGAAACTAGAAATGTTTTTAACGTTTCAGGTTTACAGACCCTATTTTTTCCTTTCTTGTTTTTCAGTTGCTCGGTCGCTCAGCTGCTCTTCACAGCTACAAGCCGCAGGTAAAGTGCAAACACCAGGAATCTCAGTGGGTCTGTGCTATTGAAGACTGTTTTTGAAGCCGCCTCCCTTTTCCAGAGTCTCAATCGACGTAAATCTCAGAATTTGAGTGCCCCTCAGAAGTTGCAAACCAGTAAAAACAGGGGCAAACCGCTGTTTGCAGCAGAGTGCTCTCCACCTCGGTGTGCCCCTCGTTCCCAGCAGCTGTGCCCAGTCCAGAGCTCAGGCCCCGTCGTCACCTGATAGATTGCTATTTCTAGAATCTAAACAGAGAGGCTGAGCTCAGGGTTTATGAGCTGTCTGGGCATTGCTAGATCACTTGCCCAGAGGGGAGGGGATTGTCCTGGACAAGGAGAAGCTTGTGGAATTAGCTCTGAAGTCCAGTGAGACCAGTAAGAGGCTCAGGTCTTGGTGGAGCCACTGAGCACACGCAGTTTACGTGGGTTTTTAGCTGTTGGCCCTTGCTGAGCGGTCGGGGGGGGGATCTGGGATTCACTGTAGGGGACGTTGCTCAAGTGACTGTAATGCTTTGAGCAGCCTGGGGTTTGGAAACTGGCCTAGACAGCAGCTAGGGGCAGAGAGCCTTACATAACCCAAGAACAGTGCCGGAGTTTCATCCTGCAACTTGCTTGCGCACAGTATTTAGCTGGACTTAATCTGCTTTTATGAGTCTTTGTCCTTTTCTGGCTGGTAAAGGGAGCTGCCCCATGCTGCTGTATGTGCTTGTTAAGATTTGCAGGCCTGATTGCATTAGGAAATTCTCATCACTCCAGAAGAGCTCTGACAATGCCCTGTTGAATGATAACATATCACGACATGCTTTGTCTTGAACCTGAGGCGCTCGGACACCTTCTGGAGTAGCAGCAAGTTACCCACAACAACAATGTGCACTCTTCTTGCTACTGCTTTCCTACAGGAGTGCAAGTTAGTCAACTTCTTGAACTACTTTTTGATTTACCTTGAATTTTCTCACCTTTACTGTGCAGTAAGAGCACGTACATAGGCAGTTACTGTGGAAGGTGGGCTGCTGTTTGCAGTCCTTGCTGCTCCCCAAGTGAGAGACCGTATGAGATCTTGCGCAGGCTTTGAATTTCTCTGCTGCGTTCATATTCTAAGCTGTGCAGCAGCTTTGGAGGTGTTTCTTCCTGCAGTGTTCTTGTCAGTTGGTAGCAGAGACTGGGAATTATGTGCCTTTATTCTCAGCTGTGCTGTTGCCTCAGTGGAGCTATAGGTGAATCTCTGCTGATGGGGGAAGCACTGACTTGTTAAATCATTTTTCACAGGTCACATAATTAACCAGACAGAGACAAGATTGCCGTCCAGGTGTCCTCCCTACTCTGCTTTTGACTTACACACCAAAAGAGAACAATTTCCCTGTTTTACTAGTAGTTTGAACAGAACCTTACTTTAAGTTTGCTGGTATTCCTGTTAATAGTCACTTCTCTCTTAGCAGTCCAGCCTAAGAGTAAGAAGACCTTAGCCAAAAGCGGTGTGAAGAATATCGTTGTGGTAGAGGGCGTCCGTATTCCATTTTTGCAGTCTGGCACCTCGTAAGTATAAAATAACAGGAAAATACATGCTGACTTGGTTAACAGTAGAATCTTTCTGTGAAAAAAGTTGGCTTGTTCATTTTAATGTAGTTACTCTAATGCCTGAAAGTACTGAGATGGCAATGAGTTAGACTGCTGCAGTTATTCCAGCTCACCTCGTGAAAAAACGTGTTTTGAAGAAGATTGCCCATGTATATGAATTCTGAGAAGAATGAGGATTTATGCTGCCTGTCTAGAGGAAACTGTCGGTGGATCTATAGCACATAGAGCAAAGTGTTTCACAAAACTAGCAGGACAGGTGCAGAGAATCTGCTGTAGTCTCCTCTTGCTAGCACCAAATTCGCAGCTGAATTAGGACCAGACCTAACTCTTGGGATGGGTAGGGGATTTCTTTATCCTGTTACTGCTGCTTTTCAGTGGTTTTAGTACAGCGGTTGTGTACCTGTACACAGATAGTCTTCACAACCTGGGGTATGGAATACTTTATTATAAATGCAGTGGAGCGTTTCTGGTATGTCAGCAGTTCTTTGCTGCACACGTGCCCTTACAGTGGTGAAGTAGAACATCTGTATCGGTTTCTGACACTCCTAATTCTGCCTCTGTTCTTTAACTTCCAGGTACGCAGATCTTATGCCACATGACTTAGCAAGAGCAGCACTGCAGTAAGTAATTTGAATAGAAGGGCCCAGAAAACTCCTTGAACTGCTGAGGTCTCAGTGTGAGCGTGGTGGATTCAACAGATTTGAAAGCCAAGGCTCTAGCTTTGTCTCTGGACAATATGATCCAGGTGCTTCATTTTTCATGGTCCACCACTACCCTAGTAGGTGGCTTAAGCAGTAGGGTTTACAACAGGCTTGTGTTAAAGAGTTTTTTTATGAAGAGATGGCATTGTTGTCCTGCTTGACAAATTTTAGTTAATTTGAATTCTGATTGTAGTTCTCTCAGTACAGAGATCATAGCTACTGTTGAGATGTGCTTACAATTCAGGGGAAAAGCAGTCTGGGCAATGCAGAGAAAACTACGTGGCAGCAAGAATAACAAAGCTATTTCTGTCATCTTGCCTGTCCCTTCCATTCTGCAGTGATCTGACAAAAGCTGTAGGTCATTAGCAGTGGGTTTGTTTTGTTAAGAAGCAGGGCAAAGTGCTGTTGAAAAGAGAGAAGGCTTTTCCGGGGTGGGAAGGAGATTTCAAGGCCTGAGAAGAGATTGTGAGGTTGGGTATGGTCATGCCAAATCTGAATGCTGTGTTTAGCCACGGCAGGCTGATTTGGTTGACAGGCAGTGCGTTAGTCCTGCGCGAGGGCTGTGTCCTGGACGTTGAGGGGCTTTTAGTGTGCTGCGGAAGAGAAGTTACTGATTGAGGTGCCTTTACTTTCATTTTTATTTGGTGCTTTGTAGTGCATGATGCTGCATTTGAATCCCCATGGCCTTAAATCTCTGCCTGCTGGGGGATTTGCTGTGTTGGCGTTGGTCAGGATGTTCTGGCAAATTGTGCAGTATGTTTTGTAATGAACTGTGAAAACGCACTGCTTATTTTCTGTGCGTCTTTATTGAAGTGCTACGTGTTCCTACACCAAAGGTGATAGGCTTTGTTATCTCTTAAGGCCCTCCTCCTTTAGTTTTGATGTCAGAATACTCCAAATTGGAAAAGATGCTAACAGCCACTTCTGAGTGTGGGGAGGGTGTGGAGTAGCTGGTTTCATTAAATTGCATAATCATTTATAGTGATTATTATCGCTGTGATCATTTGCAGTCTGTAGTCAACTACACTTTTCATTAAGTACACACGCAGACAAGATTTTTTCTGAACTAGGGCCAGAAGATGGGGCTCCATCGCTGCCTTGTTCTCCAGCCAAGCTGGTGGAAAGAGGGTGTTTGAGGACTGTGTAAGGTTATTGCTGGCACGGTGCAAATTAATTTTGTTTGTTTTGATCTTCTCCTTAGGGGGTTGCTGAACAGGACCAGTGTCCCAAGGGATGTTGTTGATTACATTGTTTATGGCACAGTTATCCAGGAGGTGAAAACGAGTAATGTTGCCAGAGAGGTGGGTTATGTGCAGTGTTTCCCCTGTGGGTCTGATTTCTGCAACTAGTATGAAGGTGACAAACGCTTCAAAAAAGATTTCCAGTGTTACGGTTCGTTTAAACGGTTTTTGGGAGTATGGACTCGCTGGGCAGTATTGTCTGTCAAATAACTGTATGGGACTCTGCCTCCTGTTGAAACCTGCCAGAGATGGAGTGCGTTTTGATGCTGTGCAGCCTCTGCTTGATTCTTCTCTGAAAGGGAAGCTTTTGTTAACTATTGCTGATCACTCAGCTCTTAACTGCCAGTTGGACTCAAGTGTTGGCTGGTCCAAAGTACCAGAGAGAACCAGAGCATACTGTGATAGATTAAATACTGTGGTATTTATTTATTTTAGTCGGCTGATCAGATGCCAATGAATGATTTGAAATAGCGTAGCTTAGCTGCCCTTTTTTTTCTGGCAGTCAGAAAACACAATTGGCATATTATACATGGAAAGAAGCTGGTCCACTGAAGTAATGTTACAGAGGCAGCATGTGATTTTCTGTAACCTGGAGTCTCTGCTGTTGTTCTCTGCAACTGGACTAAAACATGACGTAACCTGGGTTGGAAGGACTTTGGAGGTTCTGAGGCTCTCCTGTTCCATCAGCGGTTTTAGCCTTGTGTATGCAAATACTTGCTTTGGTCACGTGCCAGTCAGATGGGGCTGTGGTGTAATTTTAACTTGGGAACAACTGCTGAACTTTAAACTAGTTGGCCACGTCTCAACTAGGGAAGGTCTTGCTGTGAGCAGTTCTCCTGTGACGGGAGGCTGCGTTCTCAGATGGGTCAAATGAGACGCCGCTTTCTGAACTGCAGGAAATATTTGCTGCTCTCTGTAAAGCAAGTCACGATGCCTTGTACTGATGGGTCTAAATAATTCCTTTCACGTGTTGCCTTTGCAAATAAGGTGAAGCGAAGATGATGCCAAGTAGCTGGAAGTTCTTCTGAAATTGTGAGGTGTGTGATTAGTCTGGCCCTTATTAATGGGGGGCCAGTGACTGTCCACACAACAGTGTTGAGAGCCCTGGCAGCTGGGCAGTCTCCTCCTGTTCCCAGAGTCCTGGGAAGGGAAGAGCTGCTGCAGTAATTAGCCAAATGAAAACTCGATGTACTTGTTTTCAGCTTAGTCTGCAGAGGTGTGTTGCTGGGCAGAAGGTAGCTCTGACCCTGTGGAGCAAAAGGTGTCGGTTTTAACAGTCATTCTTTGTTGCTCGTAGGCTGCCTTGGGAGCGGGTTTCTCTGACAAAACTCCAGCCCATACCGTCACCATGGCTTGCATTTCTTCAAACCAGGCTATGACCACAGGTATGTGGCTGGAAGAACAAGATGTGGGTTTGAGACCGAGCTTAGCAACTCCCCTACATCCCTCGTCTAACTCGCACTGCTTAGTGAATAGAAGTAAGCATCTGAAGAAATCCTGGAACAGAAGGAAATTTTCGAGCCAACAAAATACAACATGAATGGTGTTTGCTGTAGACCTGCCAGCAGCTGGACACCATTTGCATTCAGCGATAGTCTCTGCTCAGTGTCCCTGTTAGCCTGGGAGTTGCTGCCTTTCAGGCTGCTTTGGTCTTTGACTTAGCCTAAACAGGAGGAAAAAAAAAAAAAAGGAGACCCGGTTACTGTCTCAAATTGCTGGCGATATTCTTCTCCCAACTGCTACATGTGACAAAGAGAAGTGGAAGCAAAGTTACAAAACTAGTATGATTCAGAAAATGGCTGTTCAACCTGCTCAGTCTCTGTTAAGCACATGTTATATAAAGCCAGAGGCAGGAGAAGGAAATAAAACATAGTAATGTCCAAGGCAGTAATAGGCAGTAAGTGTCGCTTCTCCCCGCAGCTCATGGGAAACTCTGTCTCGTTCTGCAGGCGTGGGTATGATTGCGGCTGGACAGTGCGACGTCGTCGTAGCGGGGGGTGTGGAGTTAATGTCAGATGTTCCCATTCGTCACAGTAGGAAGATGAGGAAGACTATGCTGACTCTTAACCGAGCCAAGACCTTGGGCCAAAAGCTCTCCCTGATTTCCAAAATCCGCCCTGACTACTTTGCTCCTGAGGTAATTTTTTTTCAGGCATTTAGATATTTAAGTTAAAACTGTTGTAAAACAAGATAGCTTAGGAAATTTTTTTAGCCTCAGTGGAGGAGATTTAAAAAGGGAGAGCTGGCTGCCTGTGGCTCGCTTTTATTGGATCCCTGTCCTGTGCTTCTGGTTAAAACTGCAGTTGATTAATGCATCTCGTAGCATTCATGACTCTGCTTTGTTTTCTTACATGTTGGGCTTCAGTAAACCTAACTTATTTCAAAACCGCCCTCTCCTTCTGCAACTCCTAGACAAACTGTGCTGGAAGCGACAAAGTAGAAGCTTTTTTCCTGTCAATATAAAACTTCTGCAAGGGTCTAAAGGGTCAGAAGAATTTTTGTTTCTTAAATCATAGAAGTAACATGCTTAATATCAGAGAGGAACCTCCTCCTCAGTGTGTTAATGTAATTGTTTGATTAACACATCTTAAATACGTCTTATGATTACTGCTCCTGGCCAAGCCCTGCCAGGTGCTGAACGTGTTCAGCTCCTGTTGTTTGGGCCCCAGTGAGAATCGGCAGTCTGCTGGTTAATGTCTGGACTCTGCTGTAGAGGGAGACACTCTTCTGTCTCTGAGGTCACGATGGATTACGACATGGTGGAGATGGGAAGGAAAAACACTTCCCTCCTTACCCCGCCAGCTCCTCACAAGGAAGCAGTGTGTGTCTGCCTCTGCTGGCTGCCTTGAGCAGGACCGCAGGGAAGCATAGTGTACGTACAGCAGAGATGATATTCAAAGTCCAAATAAGATAAGGAAAATTGCAGACTTAAATGCATGCGGGGATTTCCTGTGTGCTGCTGGAAGGATAAAAGCGAAGCTGAACACACCTGCTGTCTCTGGTTTTGCTCGAGGAGGTATTTGACAAGGTGTTTTCAGGTCCCAGGACGTGGTGTTTCACCTTGGCCCAAAAAGTCCAGTGACCCTTCCTAGGAGATTCCTTGTTAAATGCACAAGGCAGCTGCTTTTTGCATGTGCAAATGCAATACATTTCTTGAACCCCTGGAGTAAGCAGCAGTCTGGACCTCATTTTTATCCATTTTTCTGTAAAATCTTTGAAAGCGATGGTGCCTCTACTGTGTTTGACAAGTCACTTCCAGTACAGTTAACCATGTGTTAATTGCACAGCTCTGCTATTAACTGTTCGGCTTAATAAACAGAAGGGTCTCACTGACTGACTGTGCAGGGCTTAACCAGCTTCTGAACGTTACGTGACTGCCCAGGGACGGGAGTTTGTGTGTGCTGACTTTATTTTTCTGCTTTGTTAGCTCCCAGCTGTGGCAGAGTTCTCCACCAGCGAGACCATGGGGCACTCTGCCGATCGTTTGGCTGCTGCCTTTGCCGTTTCCCGTTTGGAGCAAGATGAGTATGCCCTCCGTTCACACACACTAGCCAAGAAAGCCCAGGACGGAGGTTTGCTATTTGATGTGGTACCCTTCAAAGTGCCAGGTAAAAGTGTGGCATTTCATTGCTAGCATGCACTAGTTCAATAAAGAAATAGGGTCAGATTCATAATGTTCTGCGTATCTGATACGGATTTTAACTCTTCGATATGCTGCCTGTTTCTCCCTGGAAAACAGATGTTGAGTATGTTTCTAAACATGCATATCTAAATATATAAACATATCCACAGCTATATTTTGTCAACCCCCCTCGTATCTGTGCTAATGTGACGATAGAGCAAGGGAAATCAGAACGGTTGGACCAGGGATCCCCCTGCTCTTTCAGCCAGACGAGAGAACCTGTCTTTATACCCCGAGATACTAACAACAAACAGAAAGCCTATAAAATCCTGATCTGATAAATCAGGAGCTGCATAGGAAGAGCTGAAACGTGATCTGCTTGGTAGACTCCAGTTCATCAGAACTCACGGTCATTGCTCGGATATGAAACAGTTGGGAGAGAAACTCTAAGCTGTCCTTTCCGCAGCCTGATTCCTACATCAGCCAGTGGGCACGCTTTGGTGTGATACCGATTCACTTGGGGCACTTTTACACTGTAGTTTGTTTCCTAGAGAGACCTTACTTTTGTAGATCCGTGGTTAAGTGTGGTCTTTATACTAAAATTGGTACTTTTTGTTAACTGGTTTATTTAAGCAGTTGGTATAGTTGAAGCAGCATATATTTGGTTCTTCCCAGTACTCTTACTTCCTCAAAACTTGGCACATAGATTGATTTAAGCCCAGTTCTCCAGTTTAGGCTTTATAATCTGCATTTAAATTCTTTTATCAACGGGGTTTTCCATGTGGGTTTTTTTTTTTCTTACAGTAAATAGATTGCAGTGCTTCATTTTTGCAGCCTTCAGAGAGAAAGTAATGTAGCTTCAATTTTTAAGTGCTATTTTTTAGCCACGTTAAATATCCTGATACCATGAATGGATTTTCTCTTTTTTTCCTCCTCCCACTTATCATAAAAAGCACAGTTTTCTGATTTTTTTTTTTTCCTCTCCCCTGGATTCCTGATGTGCAAATTCACGCGTGTTGTTGACTTTCATAGTTTAAATATGCTTTTTTCATCAACAGGCAAGGATACAGTTACCAAAGATAACGGGATCCGTCCTTCCTCGATGGAGCAGATGGGGAAGCTGAAGCCGGCTTTTGTCAAGCCGTACGGAACTGTCACGGCTGCCAACTCCTCCTTCCTGGTAATGCGCGCTCCCATCGCTATGAGCCGGGGGGGAAACTGTCTGGTTCACCCTCTGCCTCCTGTAGGCATGTAGATCAAGCTGGTGTAATCTGTGGGAATGAGTTGTCTCCTTTGTGGTATCACGTGCTTTCGGGTTTTTCAAGGGTTAACTGGGCGTTGTGTTATAATCTGGTGAACTTGGGTACTGTTTCATTTTCACATCTATAACTAAACCCCTGAAGTTTTGGCCTGTCTTATCTGTTGTGCTCTTCTGTACCTTCCCCTTGAAGAGCAAGAGGTTGAGCATTCAAAGGCAAATGTAGAAACTCTGTCCCAGAATGGGAAGCTAGTAGTTTTTGTCTAAATTTGTCACTTTAAGATAGAGGGCACATCTATGATGAGGTCTCTTCTGGATACGCTCATTTTTCTCTCTCTCTGGTGCTTTTAAAGGAAGCTCTTGTAGGTGCTGAAGACTAAGGTAGTTGTGTAAATTAGGTGAGGTGTGTCTGAGCTGCAGTTCCTGAGACTCAGTAGAAGGTGACTGCTGCTGAAAGTCTCCCGCAGAGGGCTCCAGGTGACGTCTTGTTCCTGCATGCAGCCCTGACAGGTTCTTGTGTGCTTAAAAGACTGTTTCACAGTTTGTCATCGGCACCTCAAAGGAAGCAAGAAACTACTGCTGGGGCTCTTTGAGCGGGAATGCTGTTTGCTCCTTGGCACTCTTGAGGACTTGCAAAAGCCTTGGTGTTAGGAAGAGTTGAAACTCTGTTGGAGTGCTCTCTGCTGCAGGTCTGTAGGCCAGCTTGGCCTATATCACCCCAAAAACGAGTGGTCATGTGCCAAAGCCACGATGTTCATTTTTGCCGCATGGTGAGCCCGTGGCTTGTGTCATCCCCGAATTGTATGGCAGTGTTGGGATGGAGCTGAGCAGACAGGTGTGAGTGTTCGGGGTAACCAGTGTGTCCTCAGGACTGGCAGGGCGGTTAGGCACCTCTGTCCTCTGAAACCAGGGGCAGCTCCAGGGCTGAACCATAAGGAAGCGCTTCAGCAATGCGTGTGCTAACATCATTTGGAGATCATCCGTCCATCCATCTGGCCGCTCGATCGTGCAGACCTGCTCTTTGTCCCATATTGTAGGGGGATATCATCAAATCACAGAATGGTTTGGGTTGGAAGGGAACTTAAAGCTCATCATCATCATCATCATCAAACCTGCTGAGGGGTTATTCGATCCCGCTGTCCATGTCGCCAACATGTCCTGGAAGCTCCGGTTCTACCCGGTCCCCTCCTGCCAGCTGCTGTGCTGGAGGGCTGTCAGGCTCGTTCTGTGCGCAGGGCGCGCTTGCTCTTCAGGCAGTGCCCGCCCTCACTGCTTTGCCTGCCCGTTTCAGACAGACGGGGCCTCGGCGATGCTGCTCATGTCTGAGGAGAAGGCTCTGGCGATGGGATACAAACCGAAGGCCTACCTAAGGTAAAAAGGGACTGCGCTGCCTGGCCTCTGAAGTCTGCTCTTGCTTCCTTCTCCTCTTTCTGTTACTAATAGCGTTTCTCCTGTGCAGGGACTTTGTGTACGTGTCCCAGGATCCAAAGGACCAGCTGCTACTGGGGTAGGTGACGATGATTGAGAGCATCCCCTAACAGTCTGTGCTAGCACAGCAGCCTCGACTTGCCGTTACATCTTTGGTTTTTGTGAAGTATCTCATGAGATATTACATCTGTTCAGGCTTTCTCGCAAAGGTGTGAGAGCCTGTGTGTGAGGTGGGACTTGGCAGGGGGAGGTGGCTAACGTGGGAGAGCAGCTGTGGCAGAAATACTCACCCTGATTTGCTGGAGGGGCATCGCAGCGTGTTGGTACTAGCTGTAGTTACCTGGGGTTATGTTTCAGTTGGAGCGGGACAGGCAGGGAGCTGTGCCACGAACCCTGGAGAGAAGGGATGTAACGTGGGTTGCTGTGGAAAAAGGGGACGGTGATGTGAGGAAACATTTTCATGCAAGGCTTCTGTTTCTTAACTCTTCCTTCAGTCCAACTTACGCTACTCCCAAAGTGCTGGAGAAGGCTGGGCTAACCATGGCTGATATCGATGTGTTTGAATTCCACGAAGCCTTTGCTGTAAGTACTCTGAATGCTACGGGTACCTCTTAACTGTAAAATGCCTTTCTGTAGATGTCTGTTTTCGTGTTGGTGAAAGTTCTTGTTACGACCTTTGCTAAATGTAGATAGGTGTAACTCTACATTTATGTCTATTTTAAATATATAACATTTTTATATTGATACAGTCCACGCTAACAGTGATTCATACTGCTTGAAGTCACCAAGGGAGTACAGATTATTCTAAAATAATATGTAAAAAAAAAAAATTTTACTTCCCCAAGACCCTTGTCTGATAGAAACCATGCTTGCTCATCATCTACTGACTGAGTTGGGGATATGTGCTGCTGTGGAAAGTTGTTAATTGGACAAGATCTCATTCTAGCTAAGGTTGAGCTAATGTTGATTTAAGAGGCTGATGATGTAAAATGCTTTTTTCAGTTGGCTGCGTTAGCTTTGTGGCTGTAGCTAATTTCAAGCTATCTCCTGTTCGCTAGCCCTGTGCGTAGGCTTTCCTCGACGTCTGCCGTTATCCTTGTTAACGTTGCCCTCTCCTCCTTTGCAGGGGCAGATTCTGGCTAACCTGAAAGCTATGGATTCAGACTGGTTTGCACAAAACTACATGGGCAGAAAGTCAAAGGTAGGACACAGCCAGGACGCTTTTGTCTTTAGTTTAGTTTAACTTCAGGACTGATTGAATTCCACGTTGCAGCAGGGCACGCTAGTGCTGCAAAGCAGGGCTTTTGTTACGTTCAGTGAGGAAAAGCAATGTTTCTCGAACTCTGGGTTAGCGCATCCCAGCAGGAGCGGTTTCTTTGGGAACAATGGC